TTTTTTATAGTCTGTGTAGATTTATGCTGCAGCTGCTGAAGCTAACTGTAACACACTGACCCTTCTGGATATGTGTGTGTGTGTGTGTGTGTGTTATATCATTAATCATATCCGTCACCTCCCTAGCTGTTGGCTGGAAGCTGCTGTAACAACAAGCTGGTTGCTTGTTGTTAACAAGGTCACACACAGTAGCTGACCTGTAGTTATTTCCAATAACTCAAACTACAGGACTCTGTTTTCACTGTGAATATATTTGGATTATTTTGCTACAGTATAACAGCTGATTGCGCCACCGTGCTCTTTATTGCTTAAAAATATAAGTCACCACCCCCCAGTTTACACCGAATTTCTGTTGCACAAGACTCCACTTCCCCTTGCCTCCTGTTTGCAAAATATGTTTAATCTGATCATCTTCAGCGCAATAATGACCCTTCTCGCTTTCCCTAGCCTTGACTTTCTCACGACAGAGCAGATCTGAAAAGCTTATCTGAAAGCATTTCTCTCTGCTGAAGCCCCTATTTATTCTTGACAGCTTGATTTTTTTTCCCTCCCTCTAACCTCCAGTGGAAAGAATGGCAGAAATGTAAGCCTGGCTTACAATTTATCACAGAGCAGCGCAGAGGGTGAAGTTTAGCAGTTCCACATAAAGGGAAAAATTAGCCACTGAGGTTGAAGGGTAGGCTGGCAGGTGATCAGAGCTTTAAAACAGAACCCATGCTAGGACCACACTTAGAGAATGTAATAAATGATAAATAATGGTGTTTACAAAGATGGGTGGTAAAATGAGAAGCATACTTATGATTGGTTGATTTGCATGTGCAGGGCGGCTGTGGCTCAGGGAAGAGCGGGTCGTCCACTAATCGGAAGGTTGTGGGTTGGACCCTCGGCTCCTCCTGCCACATGTCGCACTATCCTTGAGCAAGATACTGAACCCCAAATTGCTCCCGATGCTGTGCATCTGTGTGTGAATGTGTGTGCAAGAGGTAGTTTCTGTTCGATG